CCTGCTAGTCAGCGCTGAAACCGCCTGCACCGGGAGGGCATCCGGAGCCGAGGTCCACCGTTGCCTATTCCCAGATGTGTGCCCCAGGGCCGCCTGCTGGCCCGCCGCACACCCTACCCACGGCGCCTCTGTGCTGTGTCCCTCCCAGCACCCGCGGAACTTTCAGCGATTTCCGCGGGTAGAGCCTCTTTTATGGAGTTCCCCTCCCCCGATCCAGTCCTGGGGGTCACCTGTGGCAAGAGGCCGCCTCCAAACTCTCCCCTGTGGACTCCGGCGCGGTGTCCGATCTGGGGAGCATGCGCTCAGGCCAGTCCCTCCCCTCTGATGCTGACCCAGCGCCGTGCTCCGCTGCATTCGAAATGGACCCCACACCTGTCTCGGCTCCCCACCGCCTGTCTGTCTGCGCCACCACCTCGCACCGACCTCCGGCACCTCCCTGCCTGCGTGGGAGTGGGGTTTGGTGAAGGATGAGTCATCTTCCTGTGAGTCAGATCTCCCCGCCTGGGAGTGCCCGCCGCGGGCGAGCCCGCCACGGGGCGCGGCTGTCCCGCGCTGCCTTTCCCCTTTGTCCCAACTCTCCGGTAATTTGCGAGTGTTTTTTGAGTTCACCTGACTCTGTCCGCGGGACTGCCTGTCCCTCGCTGCCTCTCTGTAGATTCATGAAGCCAGTCCTGCAGGGGAGCGCCTCCCTCGCATGTGGGTGTCTGCGTTCTTCACCTCCCACTCTGGGAGCAGAGAGCCAGGAGGTCACCCGTAATCGGCCATCTTCCCGACGCCTCCGTAAATTCTTTTATTTTTAATTTGGAATTGCCAATGCCTTGACTTTTGAGAAGGGTTTGTTAGAAATAGGTCCTACATTTAAACTTTTTTCTTTAAAACATGGTATTGGATGTTAACTTTTACACAGTTCTGAGCACTGTTAATATCTGGAATGTATTTTGAGAGATCATTGGAAAGCTAAACATACTAAATTTAACATGAATATACTTTTTGATTCATAAAATAAAATCAAATTTTTCAAAGTAATCTTGTCTTTGTTTTTCTTAACAGTTTTTGTCTTTAGTTTCATTTTCTTATTTATGTTTTATTTTTGATAATGCAAGATGGATTGACAACTTTATACTAGTTGTTAGGTCAGGTTCACTTCAGTATTCGTTATTGGCAGAGCAACTCATTATTTCTGGTATGATTCTAAATACGTTTTTTAAAACCTAGAAATAAAAGCAAATTATGACTACGTTAGAGATTTTTTCCTTCCAAAAGACTATTTTGTTTCCCAAAAGATTTAAGGTGGCCTTCACAGAATTGGGAATGCTAGAGAGACCTGTATGTAACATGGCTCTTTTCAAGGACATTTCAACTCATCTGCAAACTTTTAGGCATGTTATTTTTAACAAAATAAAGGAAAATATATTTAACTGTCCCTTTCTTACTTAGTTATACTAGCTTTGAGAATGAGGGCTGGTGAGTAGATGAGTATTTTTGCCTTTCCTTCTTCATTAACTTGTATACTGGAACCTCATTGTCCCCTTCACTGCCAGAATCCCTCAGGACATCATGAGGGTGGCCTCTGGTGTCTTTCATCTAGTCTCTTCCATCTAGTCTCTTCCGAGTTGCAAGAAGATGAATGTGGTGGAGGACATTGGTACTTTGAGATGGGAGTCTGCCAGCCTCCTCATTTGCCGGCAAATTAATAAACTCCTCTTTCCTTCTCTTCAAACCACTTGTCCTCATTCTTCTGATGCAGCCTCAGGGACAAGCGCTGAACTTTCGTTAACAGAATTTGGCATCCCTTGGTGGGCGCCCATTGGCGCCCTGGTGGAATGGCACCCCATGACTGCTAAAAGAGGCAGGGAGTAACCCTGGGTCAAAGCTGTGGGTCTTTGCAGGTAGGAGCAACTTCTTTTCAAGGTGAGAGAGCAAGGGATGGCCCCAGCAGCTGCTGGAGCCTGTTTAAGCTCCAGGGAACTCCCATCTCTGTCTCCCCTAAGCAGATGCAGCTCCCCGCATCCTGAACTGAGTTGAGAAGGAAATGGATCTAGAAACATCCAGATAGCCTCGGCCATTTGTTCGATAAGTTCCCCGGTGTGCATGCCGAGACCCTGATTCCACCCATTTTGGGGAGGGTTTTGAACCCTCTAGCCCTGCAGCAGGGCATTCATTTGGGGCCCTATCAGGGCATTTCTTTTAAGGCACCTTTTGGAGTGGAAGTCATGTGGTTGAGTGGAACTAGGGAACTTGGTTTGAATTCAGAGCTCATTTGTGGTTCCCAGGGAAAGTAGGAACTAGGCCACCCATTTGGGGAGGATTTTGAACCTTCCAACCCTGTGAGGGCATTTGTTGAAGGCCTAGGGAATGGGGGGTTGTGGATTTGGCCACCTATTTGGGGAGGGTTTTAAATTTTTCAGCCATTTGGGGTGGCATTTATCTCCTTTGGATTCCCATCGCCATTTAGGTTGGTGTTTATCCCCTTTCGATTCCCATTTGTGGACCAGCCCAGTGGTAGGGCATTTGAGGTACCATCTGAGGTGCCATTTGGGGTGATGTTTGTCCCCTTAGGATCCCCTTTGTTTGATTAGGCCCTGGCATTTTTGTATGCCCTGTAGTGTCTGTTTGTTATTTGTGAGGTTTTTTTTGCAACATAAGGAAGCTCCATCTCAAAGTCCCTTGGGGAAAACTTTAGCTGAATGGTTAACTTAGAGCTATAAATCTATGTGTAAAGAGAATGGTATTATTGTAATCCGGCGTGCATGCTAGAGTGTGAGGGGAAGTGGCTGTTAAATGAAAATTCCCATTTGATTGATAGGCCATGGCATGTTAGATTGTGTTGGGAATTTCCTATGTTATTTGTGTTTGATTGTGAGTTTTCATCTGGTGAGTTTTTATACCTATGTCTAAAGATTATTGTGATACCACTTGTCTGGAGTGTAAGGAAAAGTGATGATTGATGGTCCGTGGTTTCTTCTGAGCTGTTATTTTAAAATTCAGAGCTCAAATGGTCAGCCTGCCACTATAGAGTTAAAATGTTGAGCCTCAAGCTCTCTGCTTGATATAAACTCATTGTTTATGGTATACAAAATTATCTGTGTTTGTATGATTTTTGATAAGTGAGGTCCTCCTGTCCCTGCTGGAACCCCTGCAGCCGGCCAAGGCAAGTTGCTGGGTGGGGCCACAGCCCTGGGGGTGGAGCCGGCAGGAGGGAGGATTGGCGCACGTGGGCTGCCGCCGCCATCTTGACACTATGGGAGGGGTGGAGGGGGGTTACTGCCTGAACCAACTCTTCTGTCTCATGCCCAGTAAATTATGACTCTGGGGTTCGGAATGATCTCTCCCGGCAGCAAACTCAATTTGGGCCAAAGGGAACCCCTAGCCGTAGCAGGGCAATTTACAGCAATATCAGATAGAGAGCTTGAATGTGCGAGAATAGCAGCAGGGTCCTTTGAGACAGTCGAAAGGGTGAAAAAGCTGCCCCAGACTGACTCTTTGTAAAGAAGGACCTTGAAAGGAACGTTGCCCCAAATTGCAAAGGACTCCAGGTGGCAGGAAGCCTCCAGGAGAGCAAATAGGTTTTTTTTAAGTCCAGGACTCAGATGGCAAGGAGGGGGCCCAGAGCCCCCTGCCTCCAAATATCCCCACAGGAGCCCTGGGCAAAATTGACAGTGGGTTTTTTTATTTCAGCATATTATGGGGGTACAGATGTTTAGGTTACATATGTTGCCCTTGCCCCCCCCCCGACAGTGGGGTTTTGATTGTCACTACCCGTGTGAATAGAAGCGGTCTGGGGAACCCCTTTTCCCAGCTGCCACCCCAATCCCTGGCACCAGCTGTACCTGGTGCTCTGTGAGCCAGGCAAGGGGTGGTAGAGGAGGGGCCAGGTGGCAGTGAGGCAGCCGTAGACAAGCAGCAGCTGAAAAACTCATCACGGTGGGCCCAAGAGGCAGACCTGGGCAAGCAGCAGGAGCACCAGCGGTTGTTTCGGGAACAGCAGCAGCTCACCTCTGGGTGGGGGGCGGGGTGCCACCAAGCTCCTGCTGGTTGAATACCAGGGCCTGGTAGAAGTATACAGGAGACTGCCATTGTACTTTGAAGTTCAGGCCTCCACAAGCCTGCACATTGTTACAGCATTGGCAAGAAGAAAGTTACTGAAAGTGAGTAAGGATATTAAGTATGCCACCAAAATAATGGCCCTAATACAGGCCATGGCTGAGCCCAAACCGGTGGCCGCCATGACTAAAGGAAATCAGGCCACTGGCAGAGCTACTGAGGAGGCTGCTGGAGGTGATCTGTTCCTTGGCGCCTTGATATCCCAGCTACATTAGATCCCCTTTAAAGACTGGGACTCTGACATTTGGGAATGACACAGCTAAATGGAGACAGAATTCTCATAAACTCATTCTCCTACCCAGAGCTTTGGCTTGGCCTCTTATGAGGCACCTGCATGAATACACACATTGGGAGCATGATGCCTTGAAGGATTTGGTGGGACCTATTTAAGAGGATCCCATTTGCAGCTAACTGTGTATGTACTTGGGGCAGTCCAAGGACAGACAGAA